AGACAAATTTACGGTTTCAAGAAGGCAAAGACCTAAAAGAACGTTGATTTTTACCAATCATGAGTTTGTGTAAATTTCAAATCTGATGATGGCGCTGTTGCCTCGCCAAAACGTATTGAAATAACCGATTTTAATTCACACTTTGACTGAGACCCAGGAAAGATGAGAATATCATAACAAGCACACACAGTCAGGAAAATAAACGCGTTTGAGTCAAAGACAATAAACAGCTTCAGATAGTCGCACTTGCCTTGTCGCTTCGCTCGTAGAAGTTGCGCAACACTGCCCACCAAAGGGTACCATCGATCCCCTGGAAGTCGGTCGATATAGTAGGAAATCCTACGAAAACTGTTCTGCCGCTTCAGCACAGGCTGGGCCAGAATCAGTCCGAGCAAACACACCAGTACAAGAAGAACAACATCCATCTGAAACCTGACAGTACCAASAACCTCTCCAGTGGCTAGCAAAGCTCTTCTGATCRAACCTTCSAWTGGTCTCCTGATAGTCAATGTTCACCTTGGAGAGGAACGGAAACTACTGGAATATCGTTGATTGATTGGCASGCGSATAGTRRRAACCGTTATCAATTTTTTGGCCTTCATTATCCCGGAACTGTTGTTATCTTCATMGCTTGTGCAACCCACATATGAGGAGATCAAGTAGSTGGAGTCGGGCACKTWGCGATTGTTCCACAGCATCCCTAACTAGGTTAGATCAGCTTGTTTTCTCGATCGACCACATTTTAAGTGCTGTTTTATGATGTGACACTTGTTCACAACAATTTAATGTTTTCTCTTGACTTTGCAACAGCCCAGTTTCGGTCTTGGTCTCGCTCATCACTAGTCAAATCGGTTGTTYAATACAGATGGGGATGCTTTGAACATACRWAAACGCATGTGGGGGCGCGGTTAAACTGATAAATAAGTAGCTAAATCTGGCTCCGCCCCTCGCATTGATCTGCATGTACAATTTAAACAGCAGAAGACAACCAGGACTAATGCTTAGATGGCGCTATCGCTGTGATAAAGTGCGAACAATCCGAAACCTGTTCCTAAAACACATTAGCTGAACTCCGAACGAAATCGGGGATTAATTCGCCATTTGTCTAAGCTGGGAGCAGGGCGACTAATTAATTGAGGAAGTTTCGATGTCCCGATCGGATAGAACTCACAAGACTCGCACTTTATGGGGATTTTTCGTCAATTTCTCCGCCTCAAAGTGTTTGAATGGTCGGCGACAGCCCACGATCCAGCAGCCCCCCCGAGAAATGACAAATAGCAGACGAATAAAATATATGACTGTGCAGTAATCCAGTTATAAACGTATTGCGGCCGCTGGCAGGACATTTCTATTAATCATAACGTTGGCCATCCAAGGCATTGTGGGCTCCACAGCATGCCGATATCAATCTTCATAGATCCGAAGCAGAGCGGAAAAATCGCCTCTATTTAAAATCAGAAGCCCGCAGCAAAGTCCCTAATTGGCCAAAAAGTGGAGAGCTAATCGCGTTTTCGGTTTAAGCCGTCGGAGCTTTTAAACTTATTAGGGCTCGTTAGAGGATAACGAACCCGGACCATCAAAGCTCTCTTTATGAGCGTCCGGCAAAAACATACTTAGCCTGATCAGTGCATTTTGCTCCAGTGGACGAAAAAATATGGGATTTGACCAAGCTGGACTCTTCTAAGCTCAACTAGTTAGTGTTTCTAGCTTTCAAAAGCGGTGAAAACCTGCAAACCAACTCTGAAGATGGAAGCCGCTCATGCCTGCAAAACGTACGGATGAAATTATTTTGCACGCCCTAAAACCCCGAGAAACTCACCAGCGTCAAGAAATTGATGCAATAAGCTTCACTCTTTTCTTTGCATGGAAATATAGTGATATCAGGAATATCAAACTCCTTGGCATTCCGAACGATTCGCTTGAAAGTTTCCGGATTAGCCCGTCATTGCGAGCATAGTAGGCCCGTTTTGCGACAGCGCAATGCAATTGTCGCCAAACTGGCAGGCCTATAAGCGCTAAATCGCCGGTTATACGAGTGAATTTGAGCGATGTTTTTTCGGTAATTAAGGAGTTTGTTGTTTTTAAAATAAGAGGTTTTAGTAGATGGATATATAGGATGTTCCAATAACACATTTATTGAAAAATGGAGTTCACATCATGGGGTTATTAATGGAACACGACATCGGACAAATCGGATTGCCTCTTTTCATGAAATCTTTCAATGGAATTTTGCGGTATTTCAGCGATACAGCGTTGAACTTCGTCTTTTAAGGCTTCAATCGTTGTGGGTTTGTTCACATAAACTTGCGACTTTAAAAAACCCCAAAGGCAAAAGTCCAAAGGCGTTAAATCGCATGATCCGGGCGGCCAATGCCGATCTCCTAAACCAGAATTAAAACGACCAGGAAATGACTTGTGCGGAAATTCAACAGAAAGTGAACCATGCATGGGGAAATGTTGGCAGTTTTCTCAAAAAATGCTTGAATTCAAGAAGTTTGCTTTTTTTGAGTTGCAAAATCCACTTGAACATGACGCTGCTTTTTTCGAAGTTTTCGGAACCCCAAATGCGACAATTTTGCCGATTAACCAAGCCATCAAGATGAAAAATGGCCTCGTCACTAAAGACGATTTTTGTTGAAAAATCACCGTCCAATTGTAGTTGTTCCAAAATCCCATCAACAAAGACTTCGTTGCCGATGGTGCTCTGGCTTTAGCTCTTGAGCCGATTCAACTTTGCACGCATGAAGCTGCAAAGCTTTTGTTAAAATCCGATGCAAAGTGGTTGTTAAAACAGCAATTTCCTCAGCTCTATGCCGGCTTGATGTGGTTGGGCTATCCTCATTGCGATGGCCCATAATTGCACAAATTTCGCTCACTGTGGCTGCAAAACTTCCACCACAGCAGCACCACTGTGAACTTGAGGACTCAAAAAAACTAACCAGTTCCCATCACAAGTCACTCTTTCGACACTCCCATTCTGCAAAACAGCGGCGAAACACTTAGAGTGAAGTGCGTTTTCTTCGCGCACCGTTTGCATTCAAATCATTGAAAATCGTCCGGTGCAGATCGCGAATCGAACAAAAAGCGTATTTTACGATCGATTGTGGCGAAAAAATTCGACTGATTGTCGAAATAAAAGGGGCAATTTTCAATCTGGAGCGCCGGATGAGGACGTTTCAAAGTCGAATCAAATCATCGAATCGGTTTTTGTTCATTTGTCAAGCGACATTTTGGGCGATTCTCCGTTACAAAAACCCGACAAAACTGGAAACTTTGCAACTCAACTCTTCGCCATTCAACTTCGTTATTCAGAAAGTGGTTTGCTTTCAAATTGGACCTGCACCGGCTGAAAAACCTGGCAGCGCCCCCGGCAGGAACGGGAAAAGTTGGACAATTTAATTAGGGCTTTACTGTGTTTAAGTCCTGAACTCTCTTAAGCCCGTTAACACCCTTTTATCGCGGCAAAAAACGAACGAACACAAATAATAGGCTTTCGCCAAGACTCCGGGTGGTTTGAGCGTGGGCGTAAAATACCGAAATAGCTGGAGAAATCGCGCAACAAAACCCGTAACTCCAAAAATTATAAGCCAACGATGAGCTGCTGTCTCCGGTAAATGGCCCATAAGAAAGTTCTTTAAAGGGTTTTAAGTTCGAAATCTGACGAACCACCCAACAAGGATTCGCCAAGTGAACCCCAATTTACCAAGTCAAATAAAACGGGGTGAAATGAGTCGCTCTGACACCCTTTTCCGGGGGGTTTTATTGCAGATCGCCTTAAACGTAAAATCAGCTTGTCGCCAGATATTATTTGAATTTCATCCCAGGCCCATTTCCATCAGCGTTAAGAACGTTTAGAGGTTTACCACTCACTCCCCATTATTGCATATGGTTCAAACTACGCCAATAAACAACTAAAGTTGCGTGCTAAAAACTGCAGTTACTGCTAGGGGCACTTTCGAGCGTCCCCCGGTAGCAACAATAACCCACTCAACAAACAAGAAATAACAGCTCGGAAGCCAGAGAGGGTTTAACTGGGTAAACGAGCTCTTTTAAGATAAACACGCTACGTGATACTCGCAAAGGGGTAATTACGTAGTTAGCGACTTTCAAGCCCGTTCTTTTCCATTTACTTTGATAATCCCGACGAAAACTGCAGATTTTTGCTGTTCCGCGCCCGCACAAAACCACCCCCTTTGGCAATTAATCAACAGTTGAGCCCCCTATTTATCAATCAGAATACGTTTCGGTGTATTTTTCCACCATCATCAGTTTTTATGTGTAGCGTTGTTGCTGCTTTAAGCCTTGGCATGCATTT